AGCGGACGTGCTGCTTAAGATGCTGGGTAAAAGTAAACAGCAGCAAAGACTATTTGCGAAGATCGAACAAAATTGGTCTGCAGTCCTGTGCTTGCAGCCTGAATCGAACTACGGTGGACCACAAGGCACAATTATGGCCAATGGACTTCAGCAGCGACGGACTGGCATCAAAGGAAACGCGAACATACAACTGAAAGACCTCAGCTCAGACGGGACGATGAGCTAAAAGTGAGATATGGAAGCACGTCGCAAAAAGTCCTGAGGCAAACGATCCATGTAAATAATGTAAGTTCTGACGCATGCAAATCATCCTGAAAGGACTGTGGTAAAAACTTCGAGTTATAACAGTTTTACTTAACGTGCCTACGTTATTCGCACACCACCTAACAACGGAGTCTATTGCACAGTCATGGACAGAGATTCCAATTTAACAGTCCGAGATTGCTGAAAGCCCTGCAATATTGATCAAGTTACACAACACGTCATAAAAGCATGGCAAAAGGCAACAGAAAATTGTATGCATTCGGTTCCGAAAAAAATTTGTCCACGATTGGAGCATGGTTTTGGTAAGGACCAAACTTTTGATAATCTGACTTGAAAAAAATAAACTTATTGAACAGCTATAATTAGAAGTTACTGAATATGATATCGAAGAAATGAGTGGCCATATTAGGATGATTTATCAACTGAAGAACTCACAGAATCATAAGCAGCAAAATTTGTTGCTTCTGAGACTTCGAAACCAGAAGAAGAATGGAAATGCTCTGCGACGAAGCAGATAACAATCGCATTCCGTGAGATTTTAGTAGGAGTGGCACGACTGGGTGAGGTGGGAGTAGAGATGTAGTCTAATACCCCCATGTTTCTTAAAATCCACAGAGAAATAAATGACGCCATAGCCGATCATCGAATGATTTATGAAGAGAAGAAAGAAGCTACTCCTCAGTCATCTCTTGACAATTTCATAAGCGAACGGCAAACTCTTTCATACCATTTAGGAATACATCTTCTGATATGATCTTTAGGTAAGTCAAAAACGGAAAAACAACGCATAAAACACATTTTATACGTTGTCTTGCGTTTGTGACTTACCTAAAGATGGTATCACATCATGCATAAAGAAATCACGTACGATTTTCTACATCTTCTGATTTCATAATACAGACAAGAAATAATCTTTTTGATACGCATCAATCGCTTCGATTAACTTGACATCGGTTATCATCAAGGAATAGACAATACGATGTTTAACCATGATGATCGATTTGATGCCCATTCGTTCGAAACGTTGGATGCGCATTAAGTAAAAATTTTGCTTTTTGTCTTTCGTGCTGCTAACCTATAAAGCTAGAAGACCCCCCATTTCCAGTCATTCACAGTACAGAATCAGCATAAAATTTCGAAGTTATTTAATCAATTTGATACATATAATGCCATACGTGTTTAATAAACCGTTTGTCTGTCTCGCTGTCCCCACTTGACGAATTTTCGCCAAAACGAACCATGAGCATTTATATATTGTTCGACTTAAGAATACTATTTTCGTCACAACGAAGAACCGACCTACGGTCGAACGCCCATTTAACAATTCAACGAACGCATAAGAACAGTAGCAGTACATAGTACAAGAAAACTGCAGAGATGAATCGCTTTCCTCAGTCTCCCAGCTGCATTCACGTTTAAGTTTTTCACATTGAAATTAATATCATAAGCTATTCATACGGCCAAGTATGTCAAATAACGAATGACTCCTCCAAGACCAGAGTTAAAGACAAGCTGCACCGCGCCCAAATTCATAGTTGCTTAGGGAGATTTTAAGTAGGCAATGACTCCACGGTATTTGAGCACATGCAGCGCAGAATGCCGCTTCATTTTGCCCGCTAAAACCAAATTGCACTCATAATGAATGACGTTAATGGAGCTGGTACTCATTACATTGTCACCGCATAAACGTCTACGCTATCTTGGCCTGCTTAAATGAATTCTCTTGGCAATTAAGAGAAAGATGTAAAATTCCGTGAAATCTGGTCTTGGAGGACTCGTTCGTTATTTGACATACTTGGGAATGCGAACAACTTACGTCTATGCGGTAGCACATAAGGAGTACCATCTACTGAAACACTGTTCGTAATGGGCGCGAGGTGGCTCTAGCAGAGAAAATGATGCTCAAATAACATAGAGCTGTGACCGGGTTAAATGTCTCCTAGACAAAAAGAAAAACAACGGAGTGGTGAAATACGCCGTGAAATCCGG